GCAGGGGACAATAGAAAATGCCGGTCGCATGCGGCCTGGTCGTTGCGTCGGCGCCGCAGGGGCGCGGGGGAGTCGACGGGAGGATGAAAGTGCACCGTCGTCTGTGTTGGTTGTGCCACGACCACCCGGGTAAAGATTCCAGTCTGTTTTGCAGGTCGGCAGGCAAGAGCCGGACAACGTTAACGCCTTGTTGATCGTCGTGAAGCCCAGCGGCGCGGCGCGGAACAGAGTGGTACGCAGCGCGCTGCCTCTGGATCCACCCAGCAAGGCGCAGTTCTTCTGGCGATGTCGAGGACGTGCCCATGCTGTCCGGGAATGCGCCGCAGTGCGTGCGCAGCCACTCCTGAAGTCTCTGGTAATTGCTATCCCAAGACGTCTGCTCCGCGAACGTGTCCCATCCCGGCAGAGCGCGCAGGAGCTCGCACCGACGAACGGCAATGCCTGCATCGGAGGCCGGTGATCGGTTGTACAAACGGCGGCAGTTGTCTGCGAAGGTACGCAGAGACTTCTCTGTCTTGGAAGCGTTGTTCGCTCTCGTCGGGTACCGGTTGGCGTGCGCACGGAGCCAGTTACGCAAGCTGTCGTAAGACTGGTTCCAAACACTGTCCTTCTGACCGGCGCCCCACGGGATCCACCTCTGAAGCGCCTGCGCGCGCCCCTCAGTCAGCCGGCGCGAGCGCAGGAGGTGTTCCTGTTGTCGCGCCCACTTGTTCAGGCTCCTCTCCTCGAAATCTGCAGCAGCAGCTCCTTGTCGGGGCATCCGGCCGTGCTTTGCGTGCCATCGTTGCAGTGCATCGAAACGGGCGTCCCAATCGGCATCCCATGACCAGTGAGGGCACGCATCCAACGCGCGCACGCACTCAGGGCGCAGATGGCCCGAGGCGCGCCGGGCCCGTTGAAGCCCGGCCCAGTGCGCGAAGCGGGCCTCCTCGGGATCTCGCGCCCCCACTTCCGCGGGGGGTCGTGAGTGCGCTGTTATCCAGCGCTGGTACGCCCGGAAAGTTCCCTGCCATCGTTGCCCCGCAAATGCGGGTCCGCTGCCGGCCGCGCACGGGCGTTTGCGGGCGCGCGCGGGCATCCCAGCGCGGAGAAAGCGTTTGAGCCGAAGTGACTACGGACGACGCGCTGGTTGCCCGCGGGGGGCTGGCCACATGCGGGAATAGTACAGGGAGATGGGGGCGGCGCATGGAGTAAGGGCACTGAGGCCCCGGGCGAGGCGATGAAATGTTTGGGTCTTCTTCGGGGGACCATCGAGCCTACAAAAGAACATGACTGCTGCTGGGTTCATATGCTCGTCAGCGTCGAAGTCGCAAGCCGACAAGAACGCAGGACGGACAACGGAGTCAATGGAGAACACACCGGGATTCATGGAGTCAAGTCCCAAGGGTTTCCTGGGGGCCTGAGAGAACCGTCGGATTCACTAAGGTTTTTCTCGTGTGTCCCTTGGAATGGGATAAAACACGCTGTGTTTTCGAGAACTGCCCGAATGCGCCGTCTTGGAAAGGCCCTATGGACGATGCAAACGTGGCGGCGCCAATCACAAAATGCGTAATTTCCTAAGGCTTTTGGGCCGAGTACCGAGGACACACGGGAAGAACGCTAGCTTTTCTAGGTGTGCGCGGGGGCCGACAGTATGTGTTTTCAACGGTACGTTGCCACGAGGCTGGTGCGCTGAAACAAAAACACGTCGCTGGCTTCAGAAGTCCTGGGTGCTCAGCTGGCGCGCTAAGGCTGGGCAACAATCAAGCGGCCGTGGACTCGCTCTGCACGTACTTCCGCACGCAGAACGGTGAGAGCGCCGATTGCGATGGGCGAGGTAATGGATGCGCGCCAGGGTGCCTGGCGCCAGCCACGCCTCGCGCAAAGCACGGCCGCGCTGAAATGCCGATGAGGACGTTGCGGAGGAGGCAGCGAACAAAGAATAGCATTGAACCTAAGGCGGGGTGCCGGCGCGCGAGTCGCAGAGGTGCCCCCTTGCAAGCAGGGGCCTCCGAGCGCTCGGGCATCGGGCTGACCAAAAAAGAGCGCGCGAGGTTCGCGCGGCCGTCACATTTTAGAAGGCGTTGAAATAAATCTGCGGGTTTCCGCGAAACTCGTCCAGCAGTTCCTTGACGGGCCCGTCGGCGGGAACCGAGCTCTCCTCCAGCACGAGGTGCACCAACAGATCGCGGAGAACGCCCTGCTTGAAAACGTCGCGAATGAAGGCTGCGTTGTCGGCAATGCTCACGTCCGCGCGGGCCTGGGGCAATATGCGAACGTTGTCCTCCCGGCCAATGCGCTTCAAGTCGAAGCGCTCGCGGTAGGGGAAGGTGCGGCCCTCCCAAGCGAAGAAGACGGTCTTCTGGTCGATCACCTGGACACGGACCTCAACCATTTTAGAGGAACCAGGTGGGGAGCTCTCGAATATGGAGCACTGCAAGGTGGTGCTCGGTTCGTTCACCGTCATGGGCATGGTGATGTTGTCCGTGTTGAAGCCGTCCATTGACACGTTGACGAATGGGTTCACCACCATCTTGAGAGTGCTCAGGTCCGGCCAGGGGCTCTTGTCCGCGGGGCGGCGGTGCTGGGCCCTCCACCACGAGAAGTCCGCGATGAGACGCATGCAGTGGAAGGGCTCGTCGGTCCAGAACATGACGCTCCACTCCTGACAGGATAGCAAGACGGAGGGGGGGGGATTGGGTTGCGTTATTGAGGCGGGTCGGTTGCGTTCCTCCGAGGGTCGCTATAAGGCGAGGTGTGGGGACAAAGACACCGATGGCCGTCGACCAGCTGACGGCCTCGGGCGGACTTGTCATTCCGGAGTCCTGTGGAAGCCGGGGACTTTACATATGATGGCCTATTCGTGCTGGTATCGGTTGTCCCCGAATATTCAGGACAACGCGAGTCAGGAGGCGAAAGGGTGAGGTTTGCGGGCGGCGGTGTCCTTGAGCGGCATGTTGGTCTGGACGCGGCGGCCCTCGACGTCCTTGGGCGTCTGGGTCAGGGAGATGATGATGCGCTCGTAGTCCTTCAGCTCCTTCAGGTCGGCCGGGTAATCGTCGTTCTCCGCATTCTTTTCGCCCAGGAACATTTTGAAGGAAGCGAGGATGTCCGAATCCACCGCGGGGAAAGCCTCGTGCCGCAGACGCAAGCCGAAGAGATCCGTCTGCGGGAACCCGGGAAACACGTCCGACCCGCACTTGGTGTAGAGCCAGACGAAGACCTCGATCGGCGCGCTGTTGGGCTTCTTCGCTGGCGCCTTCGGGGACATGCCGACTGCGGCGCGCTGGCTCAGCGCCTGGGAGGGGCCGGGGAGGGGGGGTGCAACAGCAAGAAGCTGGAGGGCCCTGCGAGGTAAAGATTCGTGCGACGGGAGGCGGCGCAGGACGAAGGAACACCTGGCGAGTGAAAAGGTTGGTTGGGGGCCTGGGCGTGAACATCGTCCGAAGGAAACGTTCGGATTGTCCGGGAGGGTGGGCCTGCAAATCGAGAGGGCCGCGCACTTGGGCGCCACTCTGCGCGGACGCTGCGCCGGGGCTGCCGACGACGCTGGCCGCGTTGTCGCCCTTGCGCTTCTTCGCTGCCGGCGAGAAAGCCATGGTCGTGAGCGGGCGCGAGAACGCGCAGAGGATGCTGGAGCCAATTGGGAGGCTACCGAATGCACAAGCGTGGCGAGGAAACGACACCCCATGCGTCGCTTCCGATGTGATCCTGTATTTGGAACTCCCTCTGGAATCACGATTTGTGCGAGGAAAGCATGGTCCTGCACCTTGCGACGGGTGTCATGGTGATCATGAAAGGCACGGATAGGGTCGTCTTAGCGATGACGGCAATGATGTTCATGATAATGGTGGTGATGACGAGGGCGATGATGAAGATGGCGGTGATATTTATGATGATGATGGTGATGACGATGATGATGATGATGACAACGATCAGGGCGGAATGGCGGGAGCCTGTATGGTAAGCTGCGAGTGAAAGGCCCCGCCCGGTGGTTGTCGGACAATCCATTGAAAACTCGAGCGGTTTCTCCGTGTGTCCCTTGGAATGGCCTCAAACACACTATGTTTTCGGAAATTCTCAGAAAACGCTGTCCTGGGAGGTTCGCGAAAACGGCCCTGCATGGGCGGCGGCGTCGACGGCATATAGCCATTCCTACTGGTTTCGGCGCCATTCCAAGGGACACACGGGGAAAACGTTCGTTTTTGAGTATTTTTTAAGGGAACGCACGGGAACGGCACAGCGATGTGCAAGCAGCACATGCAGCATTGCAGGATGTGCAGCATTGCAGGATGAAATGCTCAGGGCCATTTTTTTGTACCCTGCCCGTTCCCCCGGGCGAAGGCGCGCGTGTCTCGGTGCCGTCGGCGCCGCGTGCTCGACTCTCGGAAAAAGCGGGCGCGAAGCGCAGTCTCCCAGGGCTCTGGCCCGACCCTGCGCACGGAGGAGGAGACGGACCGCGGGGAGGAGCGGAGAGGGGGGAGAGAGGGGGGGGGAGACAGAGGGGCGACAAAGGGAGAGGGAGAAGAAGGGAAAGAGAGAGAGAGCGAGAGACAAAGAGAGAGGGAGAGAGAGAGAGAGAGAGAGAGAGAGAGAGAGAGAGAGAGAGAGAGAGAGAGAGAGAGAGAGAGAGAGAGAGAGAGAGAGAGAGAGAGAGAGAGAGAGAGAGAGAGAGAGAGAGAGAGAGAGAGAGAGAGAGAGAGAGAGAGAGAGAGAGAGAGAGAGAGAGAGAGAGACAGACAGAGGGCAGCGCCAGTGGTCCCCCGCCGACGGAGGAGGCCGCGGTCACCAGCATTTGGCGCGGCTGGTGCCTGAGAGCATGAGAGCGGCGCCCGTCCAATCAAGGCCGGGGCGGGGCGAAAGAGAGAAAATGAGAGACAGAGATACAGAGAGAGAGAGAGAGAGGGAGAGGACGCGGTGCAGAGAAGGAGGGAAAGCGAGGAGTGGCAATAGGGCGAGGCAAAGAAGAGGCAGGGGAAAGGAGGGAGGAAGCGCTGGTCGCCAAGCGCAGGCGAGGCGTTTCACCGGAGGTCCAACGCCCTCGCCCTCACCACGCCGGCGTTGGCGAGGTAGTCGGGCGGGCTGGGCTTCTTCTTGAACCCAAGCGCCCGCCAGTGCTTGCGAAGGCGGCCGCGCCGGGTGAGCTGCGCGTCGACGACGCGCGCCCCGCCCTTGCGCAAGCGGCCGCGCTTCTTCTGCTCCCGGGTCTCCCACCTTCGTGGGCCCACGAAGCGACAGAGCCATTCAGACCGCGCCCGAAGGCCGGAGCCAGGGCTCCGGCCTTCGGCACCAGGAAAAAGACAACCCCACGGAAGCGGGCAGAGCACGCTCCCGAGGACGGGGAGAGGACTGGGCCCGCGGGGAAGAAAAAGGAACCCGCCGTCGGAAAAACGGGCCCGGGAGGGAAAGATTTAGTTGTCATGTGGGATAACGGCCCTGTGGCTTCGAGGGCCCGCTACGGGCGCACCGGCGGAGCTCGCACAGCTGGTCCTCGGTCTGGCTGACGGTGCGCCGTGGGCAGTACAAGTCTACGCCGAACAGCAGGGGCGTGAGGCTCTCGTGGACCGCGACGAGCCGGGCGGACCAGTCAGTGCCTGGGGCCGTGCAGCGCTCGAGGACCTCTTTGGCGCCGCCCCCGACGAAGGTGTCGGTGGTCAAAGAGAAGCCGCCGCGGGCGGCTGCCTCGGGGTTGACGGCCGTCACATCGCGCCCTATGAGCATCCGGTGCCACTCCGTGTTAACGAACAACTTCGTCCGGAGCGCTTTGTCCAAGGAGGTGCCGCCCATGACGGCGGCCGCCGTCTTGCTGAAGGCTCGAGACCGGAGCAGCTCGTCGAGCCACCCCGCCAACACGCGCAACTGGAAGCCGTACTTCTTCGTGTCGTGCGTGTCGGCGACGGTGCCGTTGGAGAGCTGTCGGTTGCGTTCGTTGTTGTACAGCTGCAGCTTGTAGTGCGGGTAGTGGCTTGGGATGTTGTGGGAAAGGGCAGCCTCCAGGAAGGTGGCTCGACTGAACGTCTTGCCCTCGGCCAGAGGCTGTCCAAACATCCGCTCGTAGTCGGAGAAAAGGGTCTTGCTGGCTCCGTCCGCGTTGAAGTGTAGCCGTGTGACGAACAGGTGCAAGAGTTGTTCAGAGAACTGGGTGTGGTGGAGGAAGTCCCTGAGGTACAAGTCCGTGGCGTTCAAAGCGAAGTTCGCCTCGCCACGAGCGTGCTCTGTCCACTCGTCGCGTTGTAAAAACTTCAGGACCTGGGGGTCCGAAACCACCTTCTGGAAGAGTGCGTTCGCTGTTTGCTGGCCGTGGACTTTTTCCACTGTGCTTACCGCCGAAGCGTTCACGAACGCAGCCAACACGGCGACCTGGTGAAGCTGTTCTTCGCGGACGTTGCGGGCCCCTTGCCGAAGGCCCACGAGCCTCGCCGACGCGTCCGCGTCTTCGCCGCCATGCTCCTTGCACAGCGGGCGCGTGTGGTCCGCTGGGTCGAGGCTCCGCGTGCGAGAGCCACAGTGCTTGACCGAGCAGACATGACGTTTCGTCACACCTACCATGCCGGGCTGGCGGCGAACCCCGTGCTAAAAGGAGCCGAAAAGGCTCCGGAGTGCAAGTGCAAAACTGAGACCTAGCCAGGTCGGGCACGCGGCCAGGCGACAGCACCGGGATGCAAGAGTACCCTGAGTCCCAGTGGGAGGTCCCGTGCCCGTAGTCTCTGCTACTCCACGCATGGATCCAGGGTCGCGGCGGTCTCGTGCCCGTAGTCCCAGCAGCTCCCCGTGTGGATCCAGGGTCGTGGCGAACGCCGCCGCTCTTGTAGACAGCACCGGGACGCAAGAGAACCCTGAGCCCCCGTGGGAGGTCACGTGCCCGTAGTCTCTACTACTCCCCGCAGCCGCTCTGGGTTGAGTGAAGACGGAGCGTGCACGAGGGGTGGCGGCAGACGGCCCATGGCCGACAGCACCGGGATGCAAGAGTACCTTGAGCTCCCGCGGGAGGCTTCGTGACCATGGACTCTGCTGCTCCCCGCGTGGACCTGGCCAGGGCAAACGGCCGCCGTTTCCCGAGGGGCATCCAGGGTCGCAGCTAACCGCCGCTATGACGTCGGGCTCGCCCGCGAAGAGCGGCAGGTGAACGAGAATGGGAAAGGGAAGGATGGAGGTGAGATGAAGGAAAAAGGGGAGGAGGGACTCGGCGATGAGGACGACGACGATCGCCCGCGAAGACGACGGACGGCGACGGCGACGACGGCTCCTGGAGTCAGTGTTCGCCGCGTTGGCAACGGGGAGGAACAGCGCCACGGCAGGATGCCACAGCTCGCCCTCCCCGAACGTGCTGGTATGGGCTCTGTACCTCCAGGAGCTGGCGCCGACATCTGCGGGGCCGTCGTGGCAGCTCCTGTGACTGCATTGGGTCTCTCTTGAGAGCCGTCGGGGGCCTCTTCGGGCCGCCTTAGGTCGGCTTGGGTCCGTCTTGAGCAGTCTAGCCGTTTTGGGATTTCCTGGGGGTGTCTGGGGACCCTCTTGGGGCCGTCTTGGGCTGACTTGGAACGTCGTGGGCAGTCTTGGGGCACTCTGGTGCCGTCCTGGGGCCTTCCTGGGGGCCTCATAGGAGGTCTCGGGGACCTCTTGGGGCTCTCTTGAAGCGGCTTGGGGCCGTCTCGGGGCCCTCCTGGGCCGGCTTGGGGCCGTCTTGGGCAGTCTCGGGGCACTCTTGGGCCGTCCTGGGGCTCTCTTGGGGGCCTCACGGGAGGTCTCGGGGACCTCTTGGGGCTCTCTTGGGGCGGCTTGGGGCCGCCTTGGGCAGTCTTGGAACACTCTTGGGCCGTTCTGGGGCTCTCTTGGGGGCCTCATGGGCGGTCTTGAAACGAGTCGCGGCGCCTCTGGGGCCGTTCCGGCTGGAAAGAGCCCGAACCGGAAATATCGTCAAAAATCAATGGAAAATTAATGTTTTTTGCCTCGTGAGGCTTTCTCGGGGTCGTCAAGAGAGCCTCTGGGGCCGCTCGGGCCTGTAGGGGACCTAGGGGGATTGTTTCGGAGCTCGCTCGAGGCTCTCGTGGATCCGTGACGAGCGGGCGAGGGCCCTTCGGGGAGCGCCGGCGACGGACCAAGGCCGTTCCGGGAGCGCCGGCGACGGACCAGGGCCCCAGGAGCGGCCCAGGAGCGCCGGGGGCCGGGCCGAGTCCACTCGAGGGGCTGTTGCACGCACTGATCCCGGTATTGTAGTATAGACTAGGGCTGACCCGTGGACTCCGTCCACGACATCTTTCTGGAATGGTTCTCGGAGGAACGGCGCAGATTGTACCGAAAATCTACAAACACGGCGGCGGCTCGGGCGGCGGCAGCGAGACCGCGCCTTCGTGTCCGAGCTCTTGCAGCGCTGCAGCAGCTTGGCCCAGCGCAGGATCTCTTGGGGCGTTTTTGCCTGCGATATGCCTGTCGCCTCTCGTCCGCTCCCCCGCTCCTGGAGGGAATGCTGAAGGCACTGAAGGCTTCGTGGGGGCCGTTTCGGAGCCTCTTCGGCCTTCGTTTGGGCCTCCCGCGGGGGCTCTTAGGGCTCTCTCGGGCCGTCTTGGGTGCCTCTTGGGCCGTCTTGGGGCCGTCTGAGACCCGCCTCGGCGCCTCTTGGGCTGTCGTGGGCCGTCTTGGGCCGCTCCTGGGGTCGTCTTGGGTGCCTCTTGGGCCGTCTTGGGCGCCTCCTGGGCCGTCCTGGGGCCGTCCTGGGGCGTCTTGGGACCGTCTGGGGGCCCTCCTGGCCCGTCTTGGGGCTCTCTTGGGGTCCTCTTCGGCCGTCTTGGAGCGGTCGGGGGGGCTTCTTGGGCCGTCTTGGAGCGTCGGGAAGCCGACGAGGCGAGGAGGCCGAAAACATCGAAAAACACAGTAGAAATCGACGATTTCTGTCGCTCGGGGCCCTCTTGGGAGGCCTCTTGGGAGGCCTCTTCGGGCGTCTTGGACGCCTCTTGGGCCGTCTGGGGCGAATCTCAAGCGTCTTGGGCCCATCTTTAAGCGTGCCGGGGCTCTCCGGGGCCGTCTTGGGGGCTTCTGGGGCCCTCTGGACATGTCCTGGGGCCTGCCTGGGCGGCCCGGGGCGGCCCGGGGCCAGCCCGGGGCGGTTTTGAGACATTTGAGCCTGCGCCCTTCTGGCACGCACGTGCTCCTGCAATGTAGTAGAGACTAGGGCTGACCCGTGGACTCCGTCCACGACATCTGGCCGAGAGCATTCTTGGGGGAGCGGCGGGGATGCTGCTGAAAAGCTGTCCACATGGCGGTGGAGCCCTCGGCTTCGAGGGGGACTCTGGAAGCCCTCTTGGGCTCTCGTCGGTGCCGTCCGGGCCGTCTCGGAACCGTCTTAGGCCGTCTTGGGCGCCTCTTGGGCGATCTGGGGGCCGTCTTGGACCGTCTTGGGCGGCTCTTGGGGCTGTCTTCTTTGGGGCTGTCTTCGGAGGCACCTGGCCTGTATTTGTCTTGCTCGGGGCCCTGTTGGGAAGCTTCTGGGGAGGTCCCATGGAGAACCTTGGAGATCTGTCGGGCCGGCTTGGGCCAATGTTGGGCCAATCTCGAGCGTGTGTGGCACATCTGGGGGCCTGTTGAGCCGACTTGGGGCCCTCTGGGCCTGTCTTGGGGCTCTCCTTGGGTCCCTTTTCGGCCGTCTGGGAGGCGTCTTGGGAACGCTTTGGGCGGTCTTGAATCGCCTGGAAGCCGAGAAGGCGAGCACGGCAAAAACCCGGCAAAAAGCAACGAAAGTCAATGCTTTGTCCTGCGTGGGGCCCTCTGGGGAAGCTTCCCAGGAGGTCTCTCGGAGCACCTTGGAGACCTCTCGGGCCGGCTTGGGCCAATCTTGGACCAATCTTGAGCGTCTGGGGCCCGTCTGGAGGCCTGTTGAGCCGACTTGGAGGCCCTCTGAGCCCGTCTTGGGTCTCTCTTGGGGGCCTCTTAGTCTCGGAGGCGCGTGGGGAACGTCTGAGGCCGTCGTGGATCGTGTGGAAGCTGAAAAGGCGAGCACGGCAAGAGCCCAGCAAAAAAACATGAAAATCAATGTTTTTTCCTGCTCGGGGCCATCTGGGGAAGCTTCCCAGGAGGTCTCACGGAACATCTTGGAGACCTGTCGGGCAGGCTTGGGCCTCTTGGGGCTCTCTTGGCGTGTGTTCGAGACTGTCTGGGCGGCATGGGGCCAGCCTCTGGGGGCCTGTTGAACCGATTTGGAGGCCCTGTGGGCCCGTCTTGGGGCTCTTTTGGGGGCCTCTTCGGCCATCTTGGAGGCGTCTTGCGACCGTCTTGGGCCGTCGTGGATCGTATGGAAGCCGACAAGGCGAGCACGGCAAAAACCCCGCCAAAAATACTGAAAAGCAATGTTTTTTCCTGTTCGGGGCTCTCTGGGGAAGCTTCCTGGGAGGTCTCACGGAGCACCTTGGAGACCTGTCGGGCCGGCTTGGGCCTCTTGGGGCTGTCTTGGCGTGTGTCCGAGCCTGTCTGGGTGGCCCCGGGCGGCCCGGGGCCAGCCTCTGGGGGCCTGTTGAGCCGACTTGGCGGCCCTGTGGGCCCTTCTTGGAGCCGTCTTGGGCCGCTCTTCGGGCCGTCTTGGACCGTCTTAGGCGGCTCTTCGGGCTGTCTTGGGTGCCCCTTAGGCCGTCTTGGGCGCCTCGTGGGCCGTCCTGGGCCCGTCTTGGGGCCCCGACAGGGGCATCTTCGGACGATCGTGGGTGGTCGTGGACGCGTCGGAGACGAAAAGCACGAGAATGCCAAACATGTGAGCCTTCTCAAAGGAATGAAACGATGTTTGCTCCTCCGGGCTGTCCTGGGGAATCCTCGAGGGCCGTCTTCGGAGGCTCCTGGCCTGCCCTGGGGGCCCTGGGGGCCGTCGGAGCGGCCTCTTGAGCGGCTCGGAGCACCCTGGGGCCGTCGAGGTGGCCTCTGGAGCGGCTCGGAGCCGTCTTGGGGTCGTGAGGCCGCCCTCTTGAGCGGTTCGGGGCCGTCTGTGGGCCGTCGGGGCGGCCTCTGGAGCGTCTCGGAGCCGTCGTGGGGCCGTCGGGGCGCCCTCTTCAGCGGCTCGGAGCCGCCAGAAGGCACTCGGTGCACAAACCCTTCTCGCATGCATTGATCCTGGTATTGTAGGAGAGACGACGTTGAGCTCCAGCTTCACCTCCTGCATCTGGCTCAACAGCGTCAGCGCCCGCTGCCACTGCTCGCCCTTCTCGCACGCGCTGATCCCAGCGCTGTAGCTGATGACGTCAGGCTCGAACTTTGCCTCGCACATCCCGTTCAACAGCGCGAGCGCCCACTGCCACTGCTCGCACTTCTCGCACGCGCTGATCCCAGCGCTGTAGCTAACTAGTGTGAACCCGTGGAAAATCCACGGCCCGCAGATCCAGGCGTTGGTCCCGAACGCGCACGTGTCGGAAGCGCTGGAAGCGTCAAAGTAATGTGTTTTTGCAAATCGCGCAAGGCCTGGGCGCGATTAGCACAAACACGTAGGTTTTCAGACACAAGAGTAAGGGGGCCCGAACGATCTTACAGAGTCCCTGTGCGCGAGAAGTTCGATGTGGGGGGTGGACGCGTGGGGGCCAGAGTTGGGCGTTACGTTGGGGGGCCTCGTTTGAGGGCCACGTTGGGGGGTCTCGTCAGGGGGTCATGATTGGGGGCAACGTTCGCAGCCCTGCCGGGGGCCATGTTTGGGGGCCGCGTGCGGGGTTCGGGGGCACATGTGACGGTCGCGTTTGAGGG